TTTATAATAAAACTAAGAAAAAGCAGTGGACGTTTGGTACTCCAATTCCTGCCCACAACCTAATCATTCTACAACAACATCGACCGATGTTACACTGGTTGGCAGCTTAGTGGGATTCACCCCTGTCCTCCAGCAGCACAGCAGCTCACAGCAGCGCAGGAGCACAGCAACACAGCAGCTCACAGCAGCGCACAGCAGCTCACAGCAACGCACAGCAGCTCACAGCAGCACAGCGTCGCAGCAGCACAGCAACACAGCAGTGCGCAGCAACACATCAGCACAGCAGCGCACAGCAGCACAGCATCGCAACAGTTCGGCGTGCCTGACTCACCCAGCGTGCCCCGTGCCTTGTTCACCCAGCGCGCGCCACTGGCTCACTCACCCAGCGCGCGCCCGTGCCTGACTCACCGCGCGCCACCAGCTGACTCGCCGTGACTCACCGTGACTCAACGAGCCTTGGTGCCTGCCTGACGTCACCTTACCACCCCTCGCTGTCTGGCCTGACGACTTCTACCGCGCCTGACGTCTCCTGCCGCGCCTGACGTCTCCTGCCGCCTGACGTCTCCTGCCGCCTGACGACTTCTGCCGCACCTGACGTCTCCTGCCGCCTCCCGGCGCCGACGACGCCGACGACGCCGCAGCACGACGCCACAGCACGACGCCGGACCTGTGACGACCAGATCATCTCTGCCCTGTTGAACGGATTGCAGCCCTAACAGCCTTCAGCTCTAGTTAAGTACCCTTTGTTATTTGTGTAGTAGAGTAAACTGTGGACTTTCGTGGGCACAATGTAAACTTACTTTATGGATAACCGATACTCGCTCAGGCCTCGCTCGCGCACTTACCCCTACAGTCTACGGTCTCGTTCACTATCGGAGAGTAACTTACTCTTAACTAGTGAGCTCGCTCACTTATCCTTAGCCAGTGAACTTCCGACATCAGCTCTCGGTAGCTTATCCTCGTTAACCTCTACAACCAGCAGCGACTCAGTAATCATGACTCAAGCCCTGAATTCAGCGGGTTCTAACTCGAACACCGTTACAGTTCTTACACAGTCTGTTGACATTCGCCCGTTTAGTGGAAAGGATCCAACCCTCTTGGAGACATGGTTCGCTAGTGTAGAGGCTAGAGCGAGGAGCAAGGGTACTGCTGTCACAGACGCAGACTATATCAGTATGGCGACGTCCACACTTGACTATAAATCTGGAGATGCGTATCTCGTAGCAGGAACACCTGACTTAAAGAAAATTGTAGACTGGGAAGAATTTAAGAAATTCTTTCGTAGGAGATATATATCGGTAGTTGATCGTGATCCCTTTGGCATTGCTCGCCAATTAGCTACTGCGGTAATGCGTCCTGATGAAACACGCAACGCTTTTGCCACACGTCTAGCTACGCTACAGGACTCACTGGAGAAAGCCTTGATGGGTTCTAGATGGGACGCTAGTGGAAGCCTCACTATACAGAATGTGGGTAAACTATTGGCGTTCGGTGCCATGCAGAGTCATGCCCCCGAGGCCATACTGAAAGACATTGAGGCTAGGAATTTTGGTCCTACCCACACACTTTGGGACTTAATGGACGTCATGGTAGAGTCCACAGACAGGCTAAAGTCCCGGGATTCTGCCCAGCTTTCTGCCGTTTTTCGTGCAAACAGTTCGCATACCACTGTGAACGTTGTCACGCGTTCTACCCCTAGACATGTTCAGACTCGTGCTAGGTCTCCTCCGCCTTCGTATGGCCCCAGGTCATACTCTAGAACAGGCTCCCCTCAATACCTTCAGCGACCTCGAACGCCAGAATGTTTTAACTGTGGCAAACCAGGACACCGTAAGGCAGAGTGTACATCAACTAACACTCGTTACCAACAGCATGCTAGACATAACTACACAGGCCGATCACATGATCACACCCGTTCTTATTGCACATATCACCGCCGACCTGGACATGACACTGCTGACTGTAGAGCCCGCCACGGTACTAACCAGGCTAACCGTTCTAGTCCTACTCCTCCTTCCCGTAGGCAACCGCAGGCTGCAACAACTAACCAGCGCCGACCGAGCCCTACACGTAGCCCTGCGACCCGACCGACTGCCCATGTTAGGTTCGCAACAACTGACAGCCGTGACACAGATGGACACCGTGACTCGCGCGTGATAAACGGCGCCACGGCCGTCAAGGATAATGCAGACACGACCTACGAACACACAGGTCAGCCCTTTGACTCTCAGTCGGGGGAAGGTATAGCAGCCTGGGTAAACGGTATGACGTAGGGAAGCGAGACGCCCTCCCTGTATACTCAGTGCCTACCTGTAACAGGTACAGTGCCTTAGCAGAGGAGGATAACATGGACGAACTACACACTGACGGTACTCATGTACATGTACTCCAGACACCACGTCGACTGTGTCAGTCCCGTAATAACATGTTTAACAGGATGCCTATCAAGGACACAGAAGGTCCTCTGATTTCAGCCACCCTGAAGGGTCGACATGTTAAGATTTTCCTAGACACAGGAGCTAGAATCAACATCATTAAACAAGACGCCCTTCATGGCCTACGCGATCGACTCGATATACGACAGTCGTCTGTTTCCAACCTTGGTGGACTTACTGGAGGAATGACTCCAGCGTTAGGTGAAGCGGACATAGAGTTAATAGTTAATGACAGATCACTCACCGTGCCATGTGTAATAGCCGGTGCAGTACGATTCCCTGGAGACATCCTACTCGGATTAAACACCATGAGAGACTACCGAGTTACTATCGATGCTTACCGTTGGGAAGCAACAATTGGTGATACAGTGGTACCTCTTTGCAGTGTGTACACCATGGGACATGAGTTCACCAACCATTGGGACTATGTCAGGTACATACAAACCAGGGAAGACCAGGGTACACTTAACCAGTCACGCCCAAACAAACCCGTCACTCAGTCACTTACTGACACCAGACCAACGCACGTTTCCACAGTCTCGCAGGTCGGTGAGGTCAATGAATCTTTGCAAGGGGCCCCAGCGATTGTTCATTACCTTACTTGCCTGGAGTCTAACATCAGTCAGGTCAGAGGCATCTTACACCAAGACACAGTCTTACATTCTCATGCACTAACAAAGGTTATTGTCAAAATACCTGGTGTATCTGACCTAGAACACGTAATAGCTGACAGTGACACATGTCAAATCAATGGTACCTACATAGAACCGTCCTTACATCAGGTGCAGAATAACACTACTGCTGTTTATGTTGCCAACGTCACCAATGCCAACATTCACCTTGCATCAGGCACACACATTGTTGACTTTGCCCATTATTCGTTACCGGTGCGAGTAGTGGATGAGGTCTCTACTGACCAAATAGTACATGCACTCACTCACACAACAAATCGAGATCTGATCGCGATCTCACCTGTGCATCTTAGCGCCACTGACTTCCCTGACGCCCAATCTCAGTTACTGACCATCCTCAACAAGCATCGCAACGTTGTTGCACTGACAGGTGAACAACTTGGACTGACACACCTCATTTCTCACAAAATTCCACTGGAACCAGGTACTCGCCCAATTTTTGTACCCGCATACAGATTGCCTCATTCACAACGAGCTGTTGCAGACCGACTCATTGACGAGATGTTACATGATGGCGTTATTGAAGAAAGTACTTCACCATGGAATGCTCCGTTAATCTTGGTACCCAAGAAGGATGGTTCTTGGCGTCCCGTCGTGGATTTCAGGAAACTTAATCAAGTTACGATTCCTGATCGATTTCCACTTCCCGTGCTCACTGACTTATTGCAGAACATAGGTCAGAATAAGGTTTTTTCCACACTTGATTTATTGCAAGGATTTTGGCAGATACCGCTCGACCCAGAAAGTCGAGAACTGACGGCGTTTTCCGTCCCTAATGGTCATTACCAGTACACCCGCATGCCTTTTGGCTTACGCAGCAGCCCTATTACCTTCTCAAGGCTTATGACAGACCTGTTCCGACGAATGATAGGAAATACCCTCATGGTCTACCTCGATGACCTCATTATCATGTCCAAGGATGTACCCTCACATCTTCAAAGTTTGGACCGAGTCCTTCAGAAACTAGCTGAAGCCAATCTGAAAATCAAACTTAGCAAATGCGCCTTCATGAGAGAAAAAATACAGTTTCTCGGCCATAACGTCACTTCGCAAGGCATCACCACTCTAGATTCAAAGATAGAAGCTGTCAAGAACTTTCCAGTCCCTCATAATGCTGAAGCTGTACAAAAGTTCGTAGGCCTAGCTGGATTTTACCGCCATTTCATTGCCGGTTATTCAGTGATTGCATCTCCTCTCACTCACCTCCTTAAGAAGGACGTTCCGTTCGTTTGGACAACTGATCAAGAGAAAGCATTTCAAACGCTCAAAGAAGCCCTGATATCTTCTCCTGTTCTCAAATTCCCAGACTTCACCAAACCGTTCATTTTAGTTACTGACGCCAGTAACATTGGGTTAGGAGCCGTACTCGCTCAAACTAGTGACAGAAAAGAACATGCCATTGCATATGCGAGCCGAGTCCTCTCTAAAGCTGAAAAGAATTATTCGACAACCGAGCGCGAAGCGTTGGCTGTCGTATGGGCACTCAAACATTTCAGAGATATCATCTTTTTTCAAGCAGATCGCCGAGGACGCCGATGATAGCGTGCCGAGCGGTGTTGGACGCCAGTTAGTCGCCCATGGACATACACATAGGGTGACCTAATACCCTCTTAAGCTAAACAACTTAATAAGTATCAACAACGTGTCAGCAGATTTGAATGCAATCTACTCTGCTGCAGACGACAGACCTCAGACACACCCCGGGCATCAGAGCGTCTACACGCGCTTCCTTACACACTCTACAAGCTAGTTCGTGGCCCGTGTAGAAGATAGAAGATATATATATATTTATAATAAAACTAAGAAAAAGCAGTGGACGTTTGGTACTCCAATTCCTGCCCACAACCTAATCATTCTACAACAACATCGACCGATGTTACAGAATAACACTAATCAGCTGGTGAATAACACTAATCAGCTGGTGAATAACAACACTAATCAGCTGGAGAATAACAACACTAATCAGCTGGTGAATGACATCACTAATCAGCTGGTGAATAACACTAATCAGCTGGTGAATAACACTAATCAGCTGGTGAATAACAACACTAATCAGCTGGAGAATAACAACACTAATCAGCTGGTGAATAACAACACTAATCAGCTGGAGAATAACAACACTAATCAGCTGGAGAATAACAACACTAATCAGCTGGAGAATAACAACACTAATCAGCTGGAGAATAACAACACTAATCAGCTGGTGAATGACATCACTAATCAGCTGGAGAATAACAACACTAATCAGCTGGAGAATAACAACACTAATCAGCTGGAGAATAACAACACTAATCAGCTGGAGAATAACAACACTAATCAGCTGGAGAATAACAACACTAATCAGCTGGAGAATAACAACACTAATCAGCTGGTGAATGACATCACTAATCAGCTGGAGAATAACAACACTAATCAGCTGGAGAATGACAACACTAATCAGCTGGGGAATGACAACACTAATCAGCTGGAGCTTAACATCACTAATCAGCTGGGGAATGACATCACTAATCAGCTGGAGAATGACATCACTAATCAGCTGGAGCTTAACATCACTAATCAGCTGGTGAATGACATCAGTCAGTTGAGGAAGTGAGGCGAATCACTTCATTGAGGAACTGGTTTGTTTACTTTCATGGGGTCAAGATGGAGCTGTGAGTGCCATTAAGGTTGTTGCTGGGTGCCACAGGTGTCTGGAGTGCCAGGGCCTTGCAGAGCTCTCTCGTCGGCTCACAGGGAAGACTGACTACATATCTTGGGATGGGTGACGTTATTTTGAATTATTATTTTGATTTAAAGTAACAGACATACAGTGTAACAAAATTATATACATCGAATTTTGCCTTTTTTTACTAATGTTTCGAAATTACAAAGCAGCAGAAGTTTAGTATAAGTAAAGGTAAGTTCGAGTGTAAACTTTTGTGAAGTGTTAAACTTTTTGTAAAGTGTAAACTTTTGAGCATGTCGTAGTGTAATGGTCTAAGGCGTTTGCTTGGGAGTACCCAGAGCACGGGTTCGAATCCCCACGGCTCGGCTCCTTCTAGATTTTGTCATACATCTTATGTTATTCTTCAGCTTTATCTTGTCTCCTGATTCAACCCGTTCTCGCACTTTCTTACAGTCAATATTGACTTATTAAATACATGCCTATGTGACATACTAAACAATTTAACCTATACCTATAATAGGTTAAGTAATAATTGTAATTACGAAACAATAAGATGCTTATCTTAACATACTAAGAAGGTTAGGTAAGGTCGGTGTTTTCTATGAAGCTTTTCAAGGTAAACTAGTATGTCACATATGCACGTATTTAATAAGTCAATATTGACTATACAAAAATGCGAGAACGGGTTGCCTGGTTAGGACTCATTTAGATTATGCAGTTCAGTTTTGGTTTCCGTTTTCTAGAATGGACGTCAGGTCAATTGAACGTGTACAAAGTTAATCCCAGGAAGTCGAAACGTCCTTTATAAAGTAAGGTTAAGAAAAATATAATTCAGTATAAACGCGAAGAGTAAAGACTGATATGAAAAAAACATGCATGAAAGTGTGAAGGAAAAAGGATATTAATGTGCTAAAAATATATCTACACAAAACAATGAATACAAATGTAATAAAGTTTGAAAAGACCTGGGTAAATACTGGTTTGGGAATAAAGGTTGGTGATTTATGGAAGAAATTACAAGGTAATATAACTGCTATGGGATCGCTGGATTGTTTCAAGTGTAGGTTAGACAAATGTATGAGTTTGGGTGGTTATAATTGGAGCGGCCTCGCTAGTTTGCCTTCTGACGTTTTTAATGTATACTATTAATTTACCTGATTGCCACTGTCTCTCTAGTAGCCTCGACGAGGACAGGAAGCCAGCGGCTTGTTAAAAAAGAATCCCTATTTGTATGAAGTAGTCTAATTTGTTATAAAACATTAGTCCTTATAAGCAAATTTAAAATCATAGAATTCAGGTTATTCTTGACGTATGCTAATTATAGCGATGAGTATGTGTGAATGTTGACAGTCTTCTACACACAAACAAAGATTATTTTATCATTTTTATTATATTTCTGAAAATGGTATTTTCCCGTTAAAAACACCACTTTTGCTACTAGGTGTATAATGGCAGTTGGCGTGCCAGTATGCCACGCTTGGAGTGATGGTTGATGTAACCTGCCGGTCATAAACGGCCGGTTTAGCCATTTTGACGACCGACATTAGATACTCAGATCCATCACATGAACTCACCTACTTGTGAAGGAGGAAATGTATATGTTTATCTCTCAGAATGTTTGGTAATATGTTTACTGTTTGTGATGTGTGTCTATGTATGTATTAACACGATGTACTGAACGGGGTGAGAATAGCTTGAGCTACCTCATCCCTTTGTGTGTATTTTACCTCAATAAACTTATTTCAATTTCAATTTCAATCAACTCACCGCACCGAGTTGAGTCTTTTGAACTGGTATGACACAAGTATTTTAACGATCGTAACGGATTTAACGGCGTTTGTATGAGGCTGCTACTGGCTTGGTTGTGGTCCCGTGTATGATGGCATCGCCTCTATGCGTCATAGGAAAACTGTTTCATTTTGATTTGATAAATTTGTGTGCGCGAAGTCGGGTGTAGTTATTATAAGGCGAGGCAGAGAGCGTAGTTACCCCTTAAATGAGGCGGTTGTGTTCTGTGATCACTCAGACATGCTGGCGACCAGAGTGAGGGAGAGAGAGAGAGAGGGAGAGGGAGAGGGAGAGGGAGAGGGAGAGGGAGAGGGAGAGAGAGAGAGAGAGAGAGAGAGAGAGAGAGAGAGAGAGAGAGAGAGAGAGAGAGAGAGAGAGAGAGAGAGAGAGAGAGAGAGAGAGAGAGAGAGAAGAGAGACAGACGAGGATGGTGTTGCTAGGAGACCAACCTTCTGGGGTGAGGACGAGGCGCCAATTTTTGGCGCCAAAATCCCCAACGGACAAAATACGGCGAACTTTTGAATCATAACGCCTTACGAACAACCCCATTTTCTATGCGTGGGTCGGTTAGGTTAGGTCAATGGCTTGGGTTCGCACGTCTTAGTACCCCGTATTTTGTCCGTTGTGGCAACTGAAGAGTGCGGAATGTCTGCTTCTGGTCACCAGAGGAGGAAAGTAATCCCCAGATGTCAGGGGGATTTCTGCCTGAGTGAAAGATGTGGATTTATTGATATTTGAAGAGAAAAGAGCGCCTCATGTCCCCGGGAAGAGCACTCGTTACATAACCCAAAGGCCCCAGGTTCGAATCCTGGTCAGGCTGAGGTAATCTGGGCATCAATATTGGCTCGTGTGCTTCACCCAGTAGTAACTGTGCATCAGGAGTGCACAGATCAGGGAGGCCACAGCAGGGGTCTTGTGCCAAGGAGGAAAGTAAGACTATTGAGAAACTTGCATTTTGCACTCATTCACGCACGTCGTAGGCTTCACACTGCTGGCTGGCTTCACACTGCAGGCTGGCTTCACACTGCTGGCTGGCTTCACACTGCTGGCTGGCTTCACACAGCTGGCTGGCTTCACACTACTGGCTGGCTTCACACTGCTGGCTGGCTTCACACTGCTGGCTGGCTTCAGCAGAGACGGAGCGCTAATGCCCCAGCTGAGAGACGGGGCACTAATGCCCCAGCAGAGAGACGGGGCACTAATGCCCCAGCAGAGAGACGGGGCACTAATCATGTTATGACTCTTGGACATAAGTGGGCCATTTGCGCCAGAACTGTTCGACTGATGCTAATCTACGTCCCTAGACCTCCTTGGGCTCAGTCTTCCTCTCCTATCTCTCTCTCTGACTCAAGTACGAGCCTCCTCCTCCTCTCAACGTCTGGCAATGGGTATAAATAGCACTTGATAACCTTGGGTCCGAGCTCTTAAAGGCCGCTGGCCTGGAGATCGTCCTCGGGAACGTTGGCCTGAACACCTCTAGCGACTCCTTCTTGTGCATCTTTCACAAGTTATGTCTGGCGTTTGATCAGTATTTTTTAATTATTTTTTTTGAAGGGGGCTTTGCCTTCACTTCAGAAACAGGTGGGGGGGGGCGAGGTGGTACCTGAGTTTACCTGAGAGGCACTAACACTAGTCGCCTGGACGTGGACAGGAAGCCGGCGGCTTGTCGAAGGTCCTCCCTTCATTTGCCTTGATGAAAGGCATTGCATTAGGTGGCCTCCATACACAGTTTCAAGTGTAGATATGATAGAGCCCAATAGGCTCAGGAACCTGTACACCAGTTGATTGACAGTTGAGAGGCGGGACCAAAGAGCCAGAGCTCAACCCCTGCAAGCACAACTAGGTGAGTACACACATGCTGGTCATAAACACATATGAGGTCCTTATAAGCCACATCAACACACATATTGGACCAGACACTTGCCTCAAGGAAGGCACTCAATAGTGCTCTCTCTCTCTCTCTCTCTCTCTCTCTCTCTCTCTCTCTCTCTCTCTCTCTCTCTCTCTGTCTGTCTCTGTCTCTGTCTCTGTCTCTGTCTCTGTCTCTCTCTCTCTCTCTCTCTCTCTCTCTCTCTCTCTCTCTCTCTCTCTCTCTCTCTCTCTCTCTCTCTCTCTCTCTCTCTCTCTCTCTCTCTCTCTCTCTCTCTCTCTCTCTCTCTCTCTCTCTCTCTCTCTCTCTCTCTCTCTCTCTCTCTCTCTCTCTCTCTCTCTCTCTCTCTCTCTCTCTCTCTCTCTCTCTCTCTCTCTCTCTCTCTCTCTCTCTCTCTCTCTCTCTCTCTCTCTCTCTCTCTCTCTCTCTCTCTCTCGCAGAATTGGATTCACTTGGAATGATACTCATCATAAAACTTCAACCTAAGAACTCTTTTACCCGGTCATAAGCTCATCTGAAGCCTAACCTGTGAGACTCGTTTATTTGATGAGTTAATTATTAGTAACCATTTGTACTAAGTTAGAGTCGTGTTAGCAAGCAACAGGATGAAGCCGCCATCGACTGTTCATCAGGAGCTTCAAGTGGTCGCTTGGCTTCACCTCACGCATATCTACGTGTAGATATATCTACCATGTCCAAAATGCAACCCGTTCTCGCACTTGCTTATAGTCAATATTGGCTTATTTAATAAGTGCATATGTGACATACTAATTGATTGTGAATATTTTAGTTTACCTTGAAAAGCTTCATAGAAAACACCGACCTCACCTAACCTTCTTAGTATGTTAAGATAAGCATCTTATTGCTTCTTAATTACAATTATTACTTAACCTATACCGTTGATAGGTTAAGTAATAATTGTTAAATAAATTAAATAAGTAATAATTACTAATTATTAAATAAGCCAATATTGAGTGTAAGCAAGTGCGAGAAGGCCAAAATGCGAGCCAGTCTGGGGATGTACGGTTGGGGGCCATTAATGGCTGAGCGCCTTGTGTTGTCGTTGACAATTTCTGGTTGTCTATGAAGGTGGTATCGAACTTGTGCTTGATGTAAGGCTTTGCCATCTGCTGTTGAGATGTGTCTAAAGGCAGTAAGTTTCTTTGCTGGCTTTGGTTCTTGGGTTCAACATGTGATTCTTCCTAAGCGCTAAAACGTCAAACTTCATCATCATGCAGGTCGGCGTTCAATCCCCGATCGTCTATAAGTG